ATACTTATATTGACTTCAATGTATCCCATTCCAACCCACATACCCAATACTCATATTGATCTCATTGTATCCCATTCCAACCCACATACCCAATACTAATATGGACGTCATTGTATCCCATCTTCATCGACCTCTTACCTTTTCTTCAACCTCATTCATCTGTTGTACAATATCATCTGGCAAATCTTTTTTATCAGGTACTGGATATCTACTGATTGGATAACTACACAAATTCTGTCGGTTTCCAGAGTAACTGGAACTTATATTTGGTGACAGAAAACATTTTTTCTAGAAAAAACAAACAAACATGATTTCAAAGACAAAGGCAATCAAATTTGTTCAGACAAAGAACAAATCATAGAACACCATGCTGTACACTCTTAAGAATATGCAGGAACAAAAAAAAAATTACCAAGAAAAAACATTAAGCGTTATCCTGCCAGCTCCATGTACTTTGACTTGACCAGACAGGGGTTAAACGATTATAATACAATATGCACAGATTTAAAGGGCGATGTAGGCTTTTTTAAAATTGTTTTTGTGACATTTAATGTCACTGTTGTCTCTCCCAAGTTTTTTTATGTGCCAATTGCAAGAGGGGGGCTAACATGTAGTGCATTTTGGCCACAGAATCCTAATTCATGTTTGGGACAACATGACATGCCATCTCTCTATCAAATGGCAATTTAATGTGCTATTTCAGGTCTGCATGGTCGAACACAAGCCCCTGTATAGTCCTTAATCAAGGTTCCCCCAAAGTTACATATGTTAGTGAATTGAATCTCAGCCAGTGGAATTGACCTACCAATTGAGTCATTGACACAGTCACCCAGGATAAGGATTGAGTCAACCCTTTTTGGTGTTCAACCTAAGGTAGGACTTGAACATGGGTTTGATGCAACAAGCACTATACCCTTCCAGTGACCGGCTCAGGCCTGCATTACTACTATACTTACTTTGCTATATTGACTTTCATAAGATTTGAACATTTTCCACTATTTGGTGTAAAAACATTGGGTCGTAATTTGTTGATGTATTCGCTCGACCAAATTTCACTTAATGTAGCATGGTTTCATCATTGTATCAAATATTTATGTATGTTTAATTTGGAATCAGTGTTTCTGAAAATAGCACTTGTTTCATTTTCAAACATGCCTTTATAGCTCTTGCTTTAGAATCTCTCTGAGCCCTATTCCTAGCCTGGTAGGTTTTAGTTTTTCTAGTTTCTATAGAATTTGTCTAATGATTTGTTAGACACTATATAAATATGACAATTTCCGATTTAGAAATATTTATATTGAGTTTCCATTTCTGACAGTATGTTTCAGGTAAATTTATAGAATTTTGTAAGCCTACCGTAGATGTAATTGGTACAGCACATTGCAGACAAGGGAGAATTGTAATTGCCATTGCTTGGGTCTTTGTAGCTGCAGTTCTGTGGACAGCGAAACCAAGCAAGCTACAGAACTGCAACTAGGTCGTTGCATATAAACACAACACTTTTACATCGCTGCTGTAAATTATGTAGTTAAATAAACTCACCTTCAGATTCAGGATTATAACTTGACTTAGTCGTCTGAACGACATTATATGCGCGTAGTTTTTAACTTAAGGTCTGCAAGTACTTGTCATGAACTATGACCTTTCGTCGACCTGTGTATTCAGGGATCGACCGTTCTAAACTTGGGGTTGGTGTTTTAACGTTTTCGATGCTTACATGTAATATTACGTTTTGGGAAGTTCCTGTTATTATAATCCCCACGGTGCGGTTATTGCTAAACACAGTTCTAGAAGGAAATATCTTTTCTATTGAGGGGAAATACTGTCTTCAATGGTGACAGTAATTGATGAGATGGGCGGGGCAATCAGATATGATTGCAATGCATATTTTTTCTGCACACGTTCGTAAATAAAACTGAAACATCTCTGGTTCATCTATTATCTATTATTGTTGTTGAAGGAATGAAGTGTAATTAAAGACAGCGCCCTCGCGGCAAAATCGCCATAGCGGTTGAGGGCGTATGACCCGGAAGTTTGTGTTTAACATCTTGAACAGTCACCAAAAATGGCGTCTGCATTTCAAGCAGCGTGTCGGATTGTAGTCAAAGTAGGTATATTTTCTTAGTAACAGCGTTGCACTTGTACACTACTAGTATTTATATTCAGTTATATGTTACGTTCAAAAAGAAAGGTATGTTTTTCGATGTAAAGTCTGACCACAATAAATATTGTTCTTGGAGCGCGCGCAAACGTTCATGTACCTGGATTCGTTCGGAAAATAAGTCGTGAAAAATGATAAT